ATATATGTATATATATATATATATATAACGCGCACATACACACACCAAAATAAATTTTAAACACCAAATTCAATTTGCTCTGTGAATTTTTTAGCGCACACAACACACTCCTGCCAGCATGTTTGCTGTTCATTACTAACACGAGAAGTTTTGTAATGCACTTTACAACTTGAGCTATTGATGATGGCATAGCTGCTGCCAATTACGACGAGAGACTTTAATATAGAAGTACTGTTATAACACAAAGAGCACACACAAAATGCACGCACACACAGAACGCACGCATACACATGCACGCGCACACACGTCACACGCACGCACGCACACACACGTACGGAGGCACACACGCACATACACACACCACACGCACGCGCGCACACACACAGTGATGTGCTTATACGAATTTGTTAAACCTTAATTTTTAATTCGAGATTTAGATGTACAGTGGGTGATTCGTGTAGCCATTATTATCTCGATTTAATATATAGATAATGCCAGGTGATAATATTTCATTTCTGCATTTGAATCACCAATAACGTACTTTGCTATATTATGTATAAATAGGCTGTGTAATTGCAAAGTCAAACGCCTGCAATTTTTATACGCGACACCACAATTGAATTATAATTAATTTCATTGAATTTTACTTTTTATCCCCTGCCGCGATTAAACAGAGAGCTGGTCTATACTATAACCCTACCTGCGGTACGCACCTGTTCGTCTGGTTGGGACGTGTGTATGTACAGGGCCGAGTTTTCACCGTAGATGTTGGAAACTGGAATTGATTTTTGTCACCTGGGTGCAGATGTATTGAACACATTTGCATGCCGTAGGCATCCCCAAGACAACCATGAGCGGGTTAATAAATCCAACTCCGTAGTTTGCAGAACAAAAAAAGAACGTTGGACCTCGTGTCCATGAATGTAGTTGGTGTTATATTGCGCTGTAAAACCCGCAGGGAATTTTTAATGATAATTATCTAAGCAGCACTTGACTGGCGGATGATGAGTATTGAAGAGAAAAATCCATAGTGTAACCGGATCAACTGAAGCGTATAAAAACAGGTGTAATTCCTTGCGGCCGAGAGCACCGTTCTATCGCACACAACTAAACGCATTAACACACCGCTTCGGAAATTTTTCGTCTAGCTAAATTGAAACATTGTAATCGACTCGCAGAAAATTCAATAGTCCGATTCGCTGAACATCATTTGGCGGGCGCCTTAAAACCTGCACAGCGGTAGGGTGTACCCACTTGCACACGCGCGTTATACCTCTGTATCTCGTTTCTATTTGCGACCGGTGTTTTTTTAAATTAATTTATGACGTTATTATAGCGCGACACATTCCTGTGACCCGCATATGCATGGCTCGCTCGTTAATGACTTTGACTTTGACAATATATATATATATATATATGTGTGTGTGTGTGTGTG